CCCATTAGGCAATGGGGACCGTGATAGAAAAAGCGGCGACTTGCAGTTGCCCGGCATTGGAATGTACTTGGCTTAAACTACTCTCCCGCGAGAGGATGTGTGTCTGCACCCGCTGTTCCCAAGCGGCCTCGAATTCTCAACCATCCAATTTGAATAGCAGGGGGCACCTGGGCCATGGATAGGTCAGGTGCCAACGAAGACACCTATCCATTGGCTGTGATATGGATTCCGGACGCGGAATCCACGTACCTGCATGTGTTCGAAAGTCGGGAGCCTTTTCGATTTATAGAAATGAGTGTGCAAAGTCGGGCCCTCAGACATTGACATAGACAAGATTTCAGACTGTTCAGTTGGGGCGCTTGCGCTTTCTGACAGTGAACAATGAGCAGAGTTACACATGACTTACACCAGTTTCACCCTACATCATTAGCTATGACACTACATGATACAGTATGGCAGATGGGGGTTGGAAACTATGTCAAATGTCAGCAGCAATCGCACTCATCAGTGTGTGTGTGTGTGTGTGTGTGTGTGTGTGTGTGTGTGTGTGTGTGTGTGTTTTGAGTACATGTGCGCCCTCCCAACGTCAGAAACGCCGCACTCACATTCCCAAGCATCTGCAAAACGAAACGTGGGCCTTATCGAGGTGCACCGCCGAATGGCCAAGCAGCATGGGTAGCGCAGCCGGTTCCTGTGTTCGGGAAAGCGGAGAGGCCGGTTGCAGTGGTTACAGAAATTTCAGAAGGATGGACCCTCCGTCCTTCCCAGCTTCAGATACACTTGGAAAATAAACTATTTGTGTGTGTGTGTGTGTGTCATGTGACGACACGCAAACGGGTACCCTGTGCTGCGGCGGCGCCCGACTCGCGCGCGCAAAGCCTAGCCGTGTCCTGAAAGTGGGGCCTGCACACGCAACTTCCGAGGCCACGGAACCCGAGGCCCTGGCGGATTCAAAGGCATCCTGCGTGGACCCAGGCTGGCAAACCTACTGCTTCTGTTTGGGCGCACCCCTGCCCTAAAGCCTATAGTGTTTCAGGTTGGGGCTGAGGGTAGTGTACTTTCATGCCCCACCGGAGTATTCAAGGATTGACGGACATAGCAACAGTAGGGCGAAAGGACGCAGTACCAACATATACCAACATAGCAAGAATGACAATCCTGTGGGTTTTCCTACTCTGGATGCCTCGGTGCCAGGCTGCCCGAAAGTGATGGCGATCTTCTTCGCCTCCAGAAATGTGGTCTGGAATGCTTGCTACTATCGTTCTAAGAAGCTGAGACCAAGCGATCGGATCGTGAACATTTAAACAATCAATCCAGTACAGCAAAAGATTGCAGCAATCTTCTTGCCATATGCACTACGGAGAAGAGTTACAGCGGTAAGAAGGGTCACGACCTTAATCGCAAGCAGCCAGTTCAGCGAAGCTACTGATTGCCGACACGCGTGCGCCTCTGCAGCCATCGGGAGCCCCACCTAGTGTGCAAGACTTATGTTGTGACGACAAACGCCTACAGGTGTTCCCAAGACTCACTTTTGCATGCCTTGCAGGACAGCAGCCATCTTTCAAAACCTATGAACCCTAAACCCTAAACCCTAATGAGTAACAGTGTTCATAGAGCCGGCAAACATCAATGTTTGGTGATGGCGACTGCGTCGGCTGAGGCCCGCGAGCCGGGAAGCCCGGCGTGTTTGTGATCTGGCATCGGAAAGCGCATCCACGCAAACCAGGCCTCCAGGAGTCGATTCTCGCCATTTTCCCAGCGAAAGCCGCGGTGGCCACGGATCACCACCTTGAATTCCATCCTCGCGTGATGGCGGATTGAGAAAACGTGCTCATCTACCTCTCGGCGAGTCCCTGAACTTGCTTGGACTGCTATCATCATCCGCATCCCGACAAGTATCAACGTACCACTACAAGTATCGGCACGGGGACAGCTATCATTGACCTTGTCACATGTTTGTGCTGTACATCTATCTTAAGCTGCGGCATCAGCTTGTGTTGTGCCAGGGGTTACGATTGTGGCTAGGTCATGACCAATGTTCGAGCAATTGCCATGTCTCTTTCAGCAACTGAATGCCAAGACTCCAAGCGAAAAGTTGAAGTTCCCCCAACACCCCAAAATCTAACAAAAACACCCATAGAGGAGTGGTCCTGCTGCCGACGGGCAGCTTCACAACGTTGGAAGTCCAACGCGGAAACGCCGCGCTGGATGTGAAACAGGGCACTGCCTGTCAGACATTTTAGGGTCCAAGGTTTCGGGTTTGGGTGGGGGAGGGGTTTTCCATGGTTTTGGGTCGGGTCCTTGATTTGGGGGTGAACATAGCTTGGGAGTATAATTATAGTGGACCTTGATCTTGGTTGTGAATGCGGCTTGCTGGAGGAGTGGTATAAGGTTTGCAATAAGGGGAGGAACCAACTACCCAGGCCTCTGCAGGGTTCCAGCGCCCGAGTTCCTCGCAGCAGCCGACGATGAAGACACTTTCGCCTTCAAGGCCCGGCATCAGAACTCTTGCTGGGAATCTCTACCTACGCATCCTGCACTCAGCCAAGCCATCTGGAACGGCCGCTACCTGGCAGATTTCCTGGAAATCGAAAGGTGAGGATTGCATCTGCCAACTAATCGTTGCTTCTCAACATTTCTCGCACTTGTCTGAAAGTGTGGCAGCTGCGCCATACTTTGAAAAGTCCTCTCCATGCCCCAGGCCTGGTGCCGTGCAGGAGCAATTCACGCCGAAGACGACATCCATGGCAGAAACCATTTTTTCTAGAAGCCCTGGTATGGGAACCAACCCCTATGATCCCCTTGGGTGAGAAACACGTAGCAACCGAATCCCGAAATTGTCATAGCATAATTTGCCACTCAACAATGCCTGCTTAAAACTCCCTACATACTCTTTACTATACAGTAGTACAGTACACCCGTTGTCATCCTTGCAAGGGCGCTTGAGTACTTGCCTTCTCTTGATGAATCACGCAAAGCACACGTGAAATCGGCAAACCCTTCTCTGCACGACAAACAACACGGACCAAAGGCGCAGCAGCGCTTCAAGAACATGCGTTACAGCACTCGAGTCTCTCCTAATCCAGAGAGATAGTGTTTCACTGAATCTTTCAATCAAGCTTCTCCAGTTCATCTCGGGAATTGCTGTTCCAAGAGTTTCGGGCGGAGCACTGATCACGGCAGCTTCGGGATGCCTCGTATTCGGTTGCGACATGCCAGGGCTTCTACGGCAGCAGCAATGATTTCTGCCATGGATGTGGTCTTTCGTACGGAAGACCACATCCATGGCGGAAACCATTGCTGCCACGAAGCCCTGGTATGGGAACCATAGTGGTCCGTGGCCACTGCGGCGGGGATTCTGGCAGCTCCTTGCACACCCAAATGACACTCTCTAAACATGTCTTGATTGCTATCAACATCCGCATCCGGAAAAATGTAAAGATGTTGCAGTATTCGGCACGGTGACGGCCATCATTAAACTTCTCACGTGTTTATCCTGTACATCCTGCTTAAGCTGTGGCATCAGCTTGAGTTGCCTGCATACACTATCCATGACTATTGCGGAAAAGCCATGATCAATATTCTAGCTATTGCCATGTCTCTTTCTGCACGTGAGATTCTCCAACTGGATGCCAGGGTTCCAATCTAATATCAAAAGTCCCCCGAAAATCCCAAAACAAACAGAAGGGAGCCGTCCTGCTGCCGATTGGCAGCTTCACTGACCTTGTTTCACATCCACCGCGACGTTTCCGCGGAGGACTTCTAAAGCCGTGAGCTTTGAAGTCTAACGTGGAAATCTCGCGGTGGATGTGAAACAACGTGGGGCCTGGCAGACACTTCAGGGTCAAAAGCTTCGTGTTTGGGGTTGCTTGGGGTTTTGTCATTGGAAATGGGGATCGAACAAGATTGTTGGACCCCAGTCTTTGGTTGTGAACACCTGGCAGACACATCAGGGTTCAAAGCTTCGTGTTTGGGGGCTTGGCTTGAAGGTTTTTTGGGCAACGAACAAAGACTGGTAGCATATAGTGGACCCTAGTCTTGGTTGTGAACACGGTTTACTGCAGGAGCGGCACAAGGCCTGCAAGAAGGGGAGGAAGCAACTACGAGTCCCAAGGGCCTCTGCAGGGTTCCAAGCTCCCAAGCTCCCAGTTCCTTGCAAGAGGCGACGATGAAGACTTGCTCGCCTCCAAGGCCCGGCATCGGAGCTCTTGTTGGATTTTTTGTTTATGTCAAGTTTATGTATCCTGCACTCAGCCAAGCCATCTGGAAACTTGAAAGGCAAAAATCGCATCTGCCAACTAATCTTTGCTACTCATAAATTACTCATACCTGTCTGCAAGTATGGCCGGCTGCGCCCATGTTGACCTCCCGGAATGCGAGACTTCGTTTACTTGGTTACTTGGCCGGCCTGGCCATCTGTCGAAGGTTAGCCAGCTGCTCCAAACTGTTGATCTTCTGCTGCCTCAGCACCTTCCGGTGGCATGGAGTCATGAAGGGCTCCTGTTACAATATCTCTTGTTCGAGATGCCAGAAAGCCCCGGCACCAGGTTCCGCGCATGCAGTGCCTCGCCCAAACCTTCTGGACGCCATGTGCACTGCGTGCACAAGCGCCCACTCCACCCGTCTCCACTGCTGTATCAGGCCTCGGCGTCCTGGGGATGATCATCGCTGAGCTGGGACACAGAGTCCTGCGACGGCCAGTCTGACGAATCAATTTAGCGATCCGCTTCTCGCATTCCCGCGGCATCCCAACTTAGCAGGAACTGACTCAAGGTTTCCAAGCGGGCTTTCCGAGAGCTGTCCTCGCTGGCATGCGCGGCCACGTGTCCGCAAGACAACCCTACGCCACTGCGAACTCTAGCTATCTCCTGTCTCGAATGCCTTCTGCACCGTGCGACATGGTCATGGCAACTTTCACAACGCTTGAGCAAGCTGGCGATGAGCCCGTGCGTTTCTTTCAGCATGTTGGCTCAGTTTGCTCACCGACATGTGCGACATCCACTTACATGTGGCACTCACTCACAGCCTTTTTTGTGGGGTGGGGGACGGGCTGGGGGGCATGGCAGCGCGGGCATACTGCCCCAGCTGAGCAGTCACAATGGCCACGTGCAATTATGAAACTCAGGCAAAACTCGCCTCGCAGGCAGGATGCTTCAGTCTTTGTACAATGCCCGGTGCTGGACGCACTGAGGAAGAAGCATCTGGTCAGCGTTTTCGAACACGGTTTGGTAACAGGGCGGAAGTGCCTCTGAGTGCGACTTGTTGAGGGACTGCTGGTGTTCCTACTCTCGGCTCTCTGCTCGAAAGAACATCTGCGTTCTTCATTAATGCAGACAACTCTATATCCACACTTCCACCCTGCCCCAAAACATCAGCTGAAAATGTTAAATTAAGATCCCTTTTTCAAGACCCATTGCCCTTCAGGTGGGGGTTGTGCCTGAGAATGTGCTGGGATGCCCCGAAGCTGTCTCCACCACCATCTCCCCAGAGTGTGTGCCGGAACCGCACCAGGACCGGTGGCCACTGTGGCTGGGGCTTGGCCCAACTTGGGGGCTTGGGCCGGGGCTTCGGCCGCGGCTTGGGCCGGGGCTTGGGCCGGGGCTTGGGCTTGGGCGCGCTGAAAGTCTCCACGGGCGCTGGTGCCCTGCTGCTTGGCGGGTGGCTTGATGTCCTCGAGGTCAGCGTGCGACCGCTTGCCGCGACCTGCAACGAGATGGGATATCTGAGACAGCCTGATCAACGTGCAAGCGCAAGTGCATGAACGTGAGCGCAGTGTCAAGAAGACAAAAGCAAAGCCGCAGACCTACTTGCAAGTTCTAGCTTGGCCAATGCAAGAAACATTGGTACTGTAAGAATCACAGTGCTGATCGAGGACTTTTCCGGCTCCGCGCGCCAGTCCCTGGAGGGCAATGATCGTCTACTTTGCAGCGCGCCAGGCCGAAAAACAACGGATGCTGCGATGGCTGCCCGGCGAGTCTCGGCGACGGAGTTCCTCACCAGCCGCACTGGACACATCACTGCTCTTCCAAGAAAAGATGCTTCCAAGGGTGGCAACTGGGCTGTAATTACATGTGTGGGGCTGACTCATCTCATCTCATCTCACTGTACGAGTAGAAGAAGTCGCAGACAAAGTAAGAAGCAATCGCACTTGATTGAATTTGGAAAGCCAAGCTGCAGCGTAGCTCGAAAATGAAGTCATTGAAGCGAAGACCTGCCGTCCGCAGTCGCTGGTGAATTCGGCTTGATACCACCAAGCCACTGCCAGTGCTTCTGCACGCAAAACAATGAGCTTCTCAAGCGATTCGTTTTGCCGGCCTGCTCCAGGCTAGCCTCGTGGGCGTTCAGTCGCAGCCTGGGACCACTTAACTACCAAAGGCTACCGAGACGACCACCGGCCCCCTGGGGCTCCGGCAGGTTGTGCCCGTGGAGCTTGACGTCCCATACCCACGGCACCTTGCCCAGCATCCGGCCTAAGAGCGAGCCCAGTAGCGGACTGCAATGCCAGCACTTCCCCAGGGCGAGGACCGGCCGCTGCCGTTGCCTCTGGTGTTGGCATCTGAAACGTGCCTGGGCGAGGCAAACCGATCGCGAAACAAGCGAGCTACCCTCGGTCCCCTGCTGCCATCTTCCGCTGAGCCACAGATGAAGGTCTTGGACACGAACAGCTGCAGGCCGCGCTTTGCCTCTTCATTTGTGCTCAGGAGAAACACAAGTACAAAACAAACACACGCGGATCTACGCCACAAGTCTAAGATAGGCAATGTCCATGATGACCAGGCCTTGCGAATCGCCGCAAGGGTGCCGTGCAGATGGATGTGCGTCTCGCGCAGCCTGTGCTGTTCCAACTCTTGCACTGAAACAGCGGTTACCGGATCACTAGCTAAGCAAGCCAGGTCGGCTCCAGGGTGCAGCCCTCGGCGGCCTGCGACCAAAGCTTGCTGTTACGTGCAAACCCATCGAATTTGGCACCAGCATGCACCTTGATCGCGGGAGCTTCCCTGTTGGGGCCGTGCTCCAACATGACCTTACGTACATCAGCCGTGGAATCGACAAACAAGGACCCAGAAAAGTGTAAATCCCCGAAGGCCGTCGAACAAACTGGAGCTGCACATCTTTTGACACTAGAAACCGCGGACTCGGGGAAATAGAGAACATGGAGTCAGAAAAATGCAGAGTGCTGGAAACGAGACCGCCGATTTCGGTTCTTGTTTTTACCTGCATAAGATAATCAGAGCATCATCCGCCGAGCCCCGCGTGCTGCTCCCGAACCAGGTAAGGGGGGGGAGGAAGGGTGGCAATGAATTCACTGGCGACACGATAGATCGCGGCTAGGTTCTCAGTTACAGCACGTGCCATGTGGCATCACGTTGCGGCTCTTTGCAATGTAGCATGCAATTCATCTCATGCGCACGATCAGCTTTGCAAGTGTAGCGGTAACCGGGACCGAGGCTGGTCCCATGTTGGGACGAAGGTGGAAGCGGCCTCAGTCAGCCATGGTAC